ATATCAGTTTACCATGGTAGTGGATAGCAACTACAATAATTGTTAATACTTGATAATGATAATGATTATGGTATTATTATCAATAATCATGATGAAATAGTGACAATGCTGATGATTGTACTTATTTGCCAAACCAATACATTTTATGTTAAAAAATCTTTTGATGTAAAGAGAGCCATTATCCCTTCTTCTACGCTGCCAGAAAAGCAATGAAGATAACGAAAATTCGTGTTTTAATTGAGTGCTTAATTTATTAACATATCAGGATAACCAGGGAGATACCACCGTTAGATTGTTCATATAAAGAAATATAAGAAACCCATGATATTATATGAAACATATATACCTCTTCATATTTCGTATCCCGTGATGAATAATGATATGTTTGTGCAGTAGTAACAAAAAATACTTTTAGATGAACCATTCCCAAGAATGAAAATAATAAAATAAACTTTATTAATGTTCGTGGCTAAGTTTAATTTCCCCGGCGCACACACGTTTCCATGCTTGTGTTTACGACCAGCAGCTTAATTACAACATAGGAGGAAGGCTACGAAGGTCAGAGGAGTGACACCTGTCTGACAACTGACATCTGACACCTTGACAGTCAAAGCCCCATTCTTTGTCCAGTCAGTCAGGCGTTTATCGACCATTGGTGTAATTATTGCTTCATCTCCTTCCTACGTCTCTTTCTTCCCTTAGGGCGACCATCTTGCGTGTTCGAGAAGTCGTTGCAGAAATGGGCGAGGTGACTTTTTGTTCTTATTTTATTTCTAGCTTTTGTTTGTTTATTTAGTTTCAAGGTCATGCAGTTTGCTGTAACAACTTTTTTTGTTTTGTTTTTGTTACGAGGAAAAGGAATTTCATGTGAGGTAATTTAAGTAGAGATAAAAAGCAAAGGAATTTTAAAAAAATGTGTCACCCGACATTTTTTTTTTTCGAGTAGAGGAATTCGGAAAAATTATGGAATAATCTTCGTTAAATATTATTATTTGTAAAAATATTTTCCATGATAATTTTCCCAGTCATTCTCTTACTTGATCTAAATACATTTTTATCGTACTGTGAAATATATAAGTTGGAACTTCTAAAGAAACTGATACTTTACATCTCCATAACGAATATTTCTCAATTCGTATGCATTTGCTAATAATGGCCTTACCAAATGAAAATCAATTTAACCCAGTCATGCGCGGGACAAGTTTTTGCTCTGGGTAATTATCACCTTGTATCACGATGTTATTTACCATGTATTAAAATAATCTCTTCGCTTTTTTTCAGATAATTTGAATATTGCATTTTAATGTTCAGCAAATTCACATTTGAACATTAGAGCGGAAATATAACTATAAAACTTAAAACATTTCCATAATTGACTAAATTATTCTTCTTTTCTCATCCATTTAGTGAAAGTTTACGGGATATATGTAGTGACTACTTCCCTTCGATATTTCTTTCATTACTTGATACAAGTGATATCAACCATTAAGATCAATATCAATGAATAACGCCAAATGTCGCGTGAAAAAAGTGTAAGGCAGACTGGAGTTATTTACTTATTTACTTAAAAAATGGAAACAACATAATGAAACTTTATTTTGGAACATTGCCGTTGTTATGACTAGGATATTGTTATTATGTACTTATAGAATCGATGCTAAAATGACCATACTCAGGGTGTGAGTTTGGCTGTTAGGACCGGGTCATAAAGATGCAGGAATCTCAATGTAACCGAGAGAGAGAGAGAGAGAGAGAGAGAGAGAGGAAGAGAGGAAGAGAGAGAGAGAGAGAGAGAGAGAGAGAGAGAGAGAGAGAGAGAGAGAGAGAGAGAGAGAGAGAGAAGGGCGGGTGGAGAGAGAGAGGGGGGTGGACAGAGAGAGGGGGGGTGGAGAGAGAGGGGGCGGAGAGAGGGAGAGAGAGAGGGAGAGGGAGGGAGAGAGAGAGAGAGAGGGAGAGAGAGAGAGAGAGGGAGAGAGAGAGAGGGAGAGTAAGTGTGAGAGAGAGAGAGAGAGAGAGAGAGAGAGAGAGAGAGAGAGAGAGAGAGAAGAGAGAGAGAGGGAGAGAGAGGAGAGAGAGAGAGAGAGGGGAGCAGAGGAGAGAGAGAGGGGGAAGAGGGGAGAAAGAGTAAGAGAGAGGAAGATAGAAAGAGAGAGAGACAGATAGAACTCGATACACACATAGGAGCAACAACAAAACATACACCTAGACACGAAGGGCCAAAGTCACATTAACACATCTCGCAGGGAAGGCATACCCCCACCCCCCCTCCTTAACAGCCAAGCGCATTATTGACACCAAGTGCAGCTCTTCCCGAGAAGCAGAGGCGAAGGTCGGGACGTGATCGATGCGTTGACCAATCACCGTCGGGAACGGCCACACAGGTGGAAACAGCGACACGTGATTGGCAGGCTGATTTAGCTCTTAGCCCCTCCCCTCTCCCCTTGTCCATTAACTACCATCCTCCCCCCCCCTTCGCTCGCCCATCTCCCCTTCATCTTGCATCCCTTGCAACATGGCGGTCGGTCGGACTTAAAACTCCACATAGCACAGACAGATAATCCCTCTTTTG